CCCCTCTCTCTTGTCTTCTCCACTACCGCACCTATTAATCGACATCTCCTGACGCCAACAATTGATATTCTTTATTGTGTCCTTAAACGCGATGCTAACAAAAGCACCTCCTTTTGATTTGCTTTTGATTCTTTTTCTCTGGAGCAGATCCGTTGAGTAACCTTGTGGTGCTATAACCTCATGCATAACCCAATAAGAATCCGCCACATCAGCACCTCCTTCTCTCTCCTCGAAAAACTTTTAATTTTCCTTCCCTTAATCTTTAACAGACGATTTCTCACTCGTTTTAACTCGGAATTTTTTTTTTTTTTTTTTGCACAGTTAGATCAAATTAATTGTGCTCTTCAAAATGATATTCACTTTGATATTTTTTCGAACAAAAAAATTTGTCATTTATTATCAGTCTATACCATATGGTATTGACTGTACCATATGGTATTGACTGTATTAAATAACAGCATACCATATTGTATGAAAAATACCACCCCATACCAGGGTGGTATAGTATGGTATGAAGTTGGTAACGAGAGATATGAAATTTTTTCACCCAGAAAAAATTTAAATCTAATAGATCATGATTAAATCGTTTCTTTTGTGCAAAAAATTTCGAAAACGAATAAAAAACGAAGGAGATACCATATGGTATGGAGTTGGTAACGAGGGTATGAAATTTTTTTTCTCAAAATATATTGAAAATGGTTATTATTTTGTAGAGCACAACAAACTCGTTCCATTTGTGCAAAAAAAATGAAGAGTTAGAATGAAGAAGATATAATCCAATCAAGAAAACTAGGGAAAATAAATTCCTTTAATTCTCCACCCTTAGATCTGCAGCCACTTAAAAGAAGGGTCCAGATTTGGTTACTCATAGTCAGTGGCGGACCCAGAAATTTCAACCAGGGTATTCAACAAAAATAATTAATTAAATTTAATTCAAAATTTTCAATTCATAAAATACATAGATTCTTCATTTTTTTCTCAACCAACCACGATGTGTTTTAATATTTTGAAAGTTTTCTAGTATACATTCATCACATATATTGCTACTCACACCTTTTTAATGAATTAACCAGAGAAAACTTATCCCCATCCGATTTCGAAGATCATTCTTGATAAATTTCATTGCCGAAAAGGCCCTCTCAATACTTGCAGGTTCAATAAAAAAAGTTAACACTAGAATTGAGATGTTTGTTCTCACAATAAAATAAATCGTAATTGGATACTTTATGAGTAAGGCGATGAGGCTTGGATTTGGATTTGGAAAGATTGATAGGTCTAGGAATGTATTTGTTTGTATTCTTACAACAACAATCAAATTGATAGGTCTAGGAAAATCTAATTTGAAACGGCAAGGCCTATCAAATTAGAAAGGGTTCAATTACTATCAACAACAATATAAATATTTACGTACAAATTTGGCCCAACTTTCTAAGTAAGATTTGTCAACTGACAAGACTTAAGAATGAATGGGTCCGCCCCTGCTCATAGTTATGCACTCTAAGGTTATGCACTCTATCTTTAGCTATTCATCTCCTTGTTCTTCGACAGCGATCAAAACTCGTAAACCAACAATTGATTCTTCACCTCTTTCGTCTCCTTATCCCTTCACCTAGCCATTGATTCTTCACCTTCTTTTTCATTATTCTTCCTTGCATGTAAATGCGTGCTACTGCTCGCTTCAGCTTATGCGGTGATAATGCAAATGTATTTGACTTTTTCTTATTACAAGAACACTGCAAGTCTTGTGAAATTTGTGTTTGCATTTATCCGATTGATCTACTTTTCCTGCAAGAACACTGAAAGGCCTTTTATGTAGGGCTGCAAAAGATACGAGTTGAGTGGAGTTTTTGCTTAACCTGAGTTCGGCTTGTTTATAAACTAACACAGTTTGTCAAGTTGAGTACAAGCTCGGCTCAAAATGAGCTCGATTTGAAATAGTTATTGCAGAAAAATGTGTACACATAAGAGTTTAAATGATAAAAAGAACACTAGAAACTATAAATCACAACTAACTTTCATACACATGTGTGTTAACAAGATAATGTTCATGTTCTAAAGAGTAATTAATCTTTCCACAAGCTCTAAACAAGCCAGCTTGCGACCTTAGCTCAACAAGCCACCGAGTCAAGTTAGCTCACGAGCTTATCAAGTTGAGCATGATCTAGCTCAAACTTGGCTCTTTTACTAACAAATCGAGTGTCAAACGAACTTTTTTCGATTCGAACACCGAGTTGCTCACGAACGCATTGGCTCATTTGCAAGCCTACCTTTATGGCCTTATCTAAACTAGGTGTACGAGGAGATAACATGGCTTCTTGTTGACCTCCACTCAGAAGAGCAAGAGAGCTTTGTGGTAAAAGGAAACGACATGGTACAGAGTAGAGCATTTTTTTGTATTTCCCCACAATTCCACACCATCAATTTCCACATTTTATAGTTCCATCCACGCATGGAATTTTGCCCAAATCCTACATGGTGTGGGAATTGGTCTCAATTCTCATGTTTTCATGTTTCCAGTGCCAACGACCCCTACATTATACCAAACAAACGCACAAAAGAAAGGCACTGCTTGGAAAGGTGGAGACCATTCCACGACAGCTGATTAATTTACAGCAGCAAATGTACATATTTAAATGGCCACATTCAGTTTGCTAACTACAGTCCCAACTTGTTCTTCGGTTAAATCGAAGTTTTTACTAGTTCCCTTAGTAAAACTGGCAATCCCACATGCCGTATGCTCACCATTACATATGACTGGCCATCAAGCAGGAAAACCAATCTAATTAAGTGTGCGGGAGTTAATTAGCAGCCGCTCCAGAGTCGGTTCAGGTTCAATTGGGAACTCGGTTTCCTTACCACTGGTAAAAATACAACAAAAAAATTGTCAGCTTTAGTACAGTCCTAATTTAGCGACTTTAAGAACTTCACATTACGTACGCAGCATCATCAACTCATGTCATGACCACACCATGTCCAATTCAAATAATAACAGTATAAACACAATCAGCTCGTGCAAGTGATGAGCAAATCAAACAGAGTACTTTGCTGGAAAAGTTTCAGTCAGAAGATGTCAAAACAGGAAGCAAAATCTACAATCTATATTGGTGTCAGGTTTAAACATAGGGAAAGCAGAGGAACATGCATAATCAACAACTCAGTTAACAAATATTATACATCCCTGAAATTACATGCACGCAATTATCATAAAACTGACTGAAAGCTCATGAATGAAGAAATGGGCTTAATGTCCAAACAAGCACCACTAGACACTATTCAGAGTAACGTTCCTCGGCATAGGGAGTACAAGCCTTCATCTCCAGGAGAAAAGCATCAAATGTGCGGGCTATGAGCCAAGCCACTCAACAAACAGAGCTGATGGCTGGAAATAATGACACATAGAACTCCAGAACCCTGCTGTTCTTACTTGGAAAAAAAGACCCAGAAGATGAAACCAATGCTAACTGTATAAGAGAACGATTATCCAGTACAACGTCAACGAAGCATAAGGAAATGCCACTTCTGAGTGCGCCTTTGCTCCAGAAGCACAAGAACATGCTTAGTCAGCCAGATGGTTTGATGAATGATGGTAAACTAGAAGATTGACGATTTCAACGCAAGCAAACTAAACCAAACTAAAATGTTCATGTACAAATGACCTTCATCGAAGAAAGGGACGACCTTGAAAGAAACAACACAATACAAAAGGAGTAAATAAGAGAAGGGGGGAAAAGAAACCGAACCTAGCATACTGAAGAGAACAGTGGAAATACTGGCAGATTTTCTACAGAATCGTGGTGCTTCTCTCAGGGAAAGTCATATCACATGTTGCACCTCAGCAAAAATCCCTGCCATTTGAAATGATAGGAGATCAACTTTACGCCAGAACAGAAGCAGGCTTACAATGAATTTCGCCAACCCGCCATTCCCCAACAACTTTTCAAAAAATAAAACAGACACCACTAGTAAATTCAATTGGCACCGCCAATCAACTCAATTGAACAGAAGGCGTCACCTTTTGTGTCAAAATCGACGAACCCAGATTAACAAATCCCAGATAGGAACTCTCTCCAACCCATTTGACTTGAGAAACTATCAAACTAAGAGAAGGGGCCGAGAGAAACAAACCAGGAGGAGCATGTCACGAATTGCCTGGAAACCATGGAGGTTTCCTTGTTGATCACGAACTCGAACCGCTCGGTGCTGATAAGCTTGACCTTGTCTCCTGTCCTCCTCTCTCTTCCGTTTCTCTTTTCCTCCTCTTTTTTATGGTGACTTTCCTTTTCCTTGTTACGGGAACAGTAAGGAAAACTGATTTCTCTTCTGGCAAATGTGATCAGACAACTAACCGCCGAGAGAAGAGCTTGTCGTTCGCAATACAAAAGCCACTGCCAAATTTATTGCCAAGTAATAAGTAGACTCCAGTAGGAGCTCTAATAATTGATGCATTGCCTCCTCTCCAACTAAATAAAGTCCTTGTTTTTCCCCAATGAAATGAAAAGAAAATGAAACAACAAAAAAATGAACTGACGCACTGTTCTTCACAGATGAGGAGACACCACAGGTTACTCAACAAATGAAATATCCAATCAACTTCAAACATCACCGAATCAATAAGCTGAAAAGTTGGAGCTTATTCATGACAAATAAGCACATCAAACTAAATCAATGTTTCAAAATACGAGATAACATCCAAGAAAAAAGATAAATCTTTCAACTCCATAAACGGCTGAGGTTGAGCTTCCAAAAGACACAAAATGCTAAGCTATCATACCTTTCTAGTATTACTCCATGGCCATAATTGTTAACATGAACAGCAACATCACAACTACAAGCATTAAATCTGTCAAGTATGCAGAGCCTTGAGATCAGTACATTCAGCAGAACAGCGAGCAGAGGGAGAATACAGCACAGTCAGTGAGAGTGGCAACGATCATGGGTAAGAATTCCAATTACAGCCGTGGAGAAAACTCAACTGTACATGCAAAAATCTCAATGTATGTTCACTGCATGCCTCTGCAACCAGCGGTAACTTGCTCATCCTGGTTAAAATGACTTTCAATAGGTTTTTGGGTACCACATGATCCTCCTTGAGTTGTATCTGTTGATAAACCCTTTAGCCGCTTCTCCTCGTCACCCAAATCTGAGGAATCTAAAAGTTTTGCAAGATATGGATTATCCAAACCTACGATCAAGGACATCGTGGTAGCATCAGAGGAGAAACCCTTAGAAATCATTTCTTGAATGAGTTCCACTGCGTCAAGTGGATCTTTGTGCTGAAGAAATCCAGCGATGATTGCATTATAAGAGCGGGAATTCGGTGCGCAACCACTCGCCTCCATTGTTCTAAATAAATCATAAGCTTTATCGACCAAACCTTGTCCACAGAGCCCACCAATTACCACGTTATATGTGTACACATTAGGTTGTAAGAACTTATCTTCGCGGAGGATAGTAAACAAAGCCCATGCTTCCTCCCCACGCTTCACAGTTTTGAACAGGCTATCGATCAAGATATTATACATCCGAACATCCGGCTTTAACTTGCTATTTTTTATTGATTCGAACATAGTCAACGCCTCATCTAGCTTACCTCGTTTGCACATGTTAGACAGCAAAATGCTATATGTCACAACATCTGGCACTTGACCCTGATCAACCATTTTCGTGAGAAGTTCATGTGCTTCTTGATGCCTTTCCACAAGGCAGAATCCTTCAATAAGAGTATTAAATGTAATATTATTTGGAGTCAAACCCTTCTCAAGCATATCAGAAAATAACTGTTTGGCTTCAGAGATCCTTTTATCTTTACAATATCCATTGATCATGATGCTGTAAGTACGAACATTAGGCTTGCATCCCAGGCTGGACATCAAGTCAAATAACCTTTTAGCGTTGCCAACTTCACTTCTCAAACAATATCCATCAAGCAATGAGTTGTACGTAGCAATGTTTGGATGTACTCCTCTCTGAATCATCATGTTGACCACAGCTTTAGCTTGCAAAATCATCCCGTTTTTGCAGAAATCATCAACCAATATGCTAAAGGTGAATACATCAGGCATGATGTCACTATCTATCATTTCAATCAACATCCTCAAAGCTTCAGCCCTCTGGCTTGAGATGCATAAGCCGTGAATTAAGGAATTGTAGCTGAAAACATCTGGTGAAACTCCTTTATTCTTTAGCTCAGAAAAGACATCCAGAGCTTTTGACATCAAACCATTCTTGCATAGGGCATCCATGACAGTGTTATATGTAGCAACACTAGGGCAACAACCCAAAGCTTCCATTTGTCTGAGCAAACTAAGACCTGCATCTGTTTTTTCCATCTTGCACAGCCCATTTACAATCGCGTTATAAGTGACCACATCCCGCTTATATCCTAAAGCCACCATCTTATTAAACAACTCCACTGCCTCAGGAATTCTCCCACTTTTGGAGAGCCCATCAATCAGAGTATTGAAAGCAATCACATCTGGTTGAAGTCCGAGTTTAAAAGCTTTGCCTAAGATCGAAAACCCGAAATCCACGCGACCCAATTTGCAGTAGCTATGGATCAACATGTTAAGTATGTAATCGTTGCAGGGAATGCCAGCCAAATCCATTCGTTCGGCCACGGAAAGCGCAACCTCAGGGGCTTTCAGTTTCACAAGGGCAGTCAATAATTGACCGAATTTCACAATGGAGGGCATGGGATTCGCGTGGAGCATACTATTAAATGAATCTAGGGCATCATCGACGCTAGTGAAACGAGCAGAAGAGGAGAATAGAGCCTTACCAGAAATTTTCGACAGCTGAAATCGAAAGGCATTATGACGGAAGATGCAGTAACTGATTATGTTCGTCATTTATTGCCACAATGAAAGTGAGGAACGCTCAATTGCAAATGTGATGGCAACGAAATTAGTCGGAAACTGAAGTGAGCTCTGCTCGAAAGTTTAAGGTTCGTGTTCTGGTCGGAAAGACGTAGGAGGGAGTTGATTAATGGCACTGGACGAAAGTTTAGGGTTTGTTTACCGAGGATGGGGAAGAAAAGGGGGAAAAAATCTTGCAAAAACAAATCCTCACAGTAAAGTTAGGGCTGGTATTCCGTAATTTACCAGTTTAACCGGTAACCGACTACCCGACTAACGATATACCGGTAGCGTCAAGATGGAGATTGGCAATCGAAACCGGTTTCTAACCGGATAGGTAGTTACCGGTTATATCGAGAAATCGTGACAAGCACTACGGAATATACTTTCACGATGGCAGACTATCTTCTCCATTTGGTTTCCAGAACCTTCCTCCGCCTCTTCATACCCAAGCTATCAATCATCAATTCTCCTTCTCCAGCCAAACTTCCTCTCCTAATCTAATTCCCCATTAGGAGACAAAATTGTTTTAAGGTGGGAGAAAATATAACACCCCGAGTTTTGATCCAGGTTCGACCGCAAAGCTGGAAAACGATTAGAAGGAATAAAGCGATGAAGAAGTGGCAACATGACGGCCCGTCACACAGCCGTGTTGCTAGACCAAAGCAAAAATATTAGCCATTTTTGCAGGAAGCCGGACAGAGATTCGACAGGTTTTGAAGGAACAACCAAAGAAATGTTTTGTGATGGCAGTGCGGACTTAGTCGCAACCAACAGACCACTATTTTCTAGGTTTTTGGGTGGAGAGGCAGATGGATAGGGAGATAATCTTAGAGAGAGAAGATTGGGTTTTGGTGTGAAGAATGAAGGAGAAATGGGGGTTTATATAGGATTCGAACCGCCTGCTAGGGGCAGTTTTGTAATTTTTCACAAACAATAACCACTCCCTCTAGCCAATGTTCGCATTTTTCCAAGCTAGAAACCACCCACTCCACCTGCGATTCTTGATCTCTGACACGGATCGGTTACATGGCGCACGGTCCGCCCTTGGATCGCTCTCTATTCCAAAGGTTCTGCAGACTGTCGCTTCCCCATACGGTTTGTTGGTTGCCCTAGCTTTGACCGCCTCTTCCCCGGGCGTTTCTTTAGTAAACCGCAAGCACCTTTAGTGTGCAGTTTACAACAAATGGTGTTAGTTTTAAAAATTTCCCGAAAATTGTGGTATTTTTGTAATTTTTTTATGATGGTAGATCTGGAAAAAAACTGAATTGCTATTTGTCGCCCTAAAATTTGAATTTTATCGCCCTAAACTATACCTAAATGACATATTCACCCTTCGTCCAATTCTAACCCTCCAAACCCGACGACCACCGCAGAGAAGAACTGTCGTCGTCGCCCCTCCATTCTCACATATGGCCAGAGAAAAATTAATTGTCGACGCCGCTTCTAATCCCCCTTCCATCCATTCCAACCCGATACCCTCACCCAATCCGCAGCTTCTATTGTTGCTCTGTTTCTGGCGGACAGCTTCTGCTCTAACATCGCGGAGAAGAAGGAGAAGGAGGAAGAAGAAGCAAGTCGAAAGTTGCCTGCTGCTGCTTTGTTGCCGGGGAGAAGAAGGAAGAAGAACCGTCGCCGCCGCTAGCTGATGTGTTGTCGTCGACAAAGAGAAGGAAAGCGGCCCTTGTTGACTCCTCAATCGATTCAGATTACATCAACTTTTAACAACCAGTCAAGCGCATGCAAGAGTTGTAGAAGGGTTCCGGGACCGATTCATTCTTCAGTCTTCTCATCTACAAGTGAAAGGGTCTTCTGGGTAGATATATAGAAGTGGGAAGTCTGATATCTTTTGGTTCTAAGTGTTCTTGGGATTTATTTTCTTCCCAAGTTTTCTTCTTTTCATCTTTCAAACTTGCTCTAATTTCATTAGAAGATAACATTCTGTAATTCCCATCAAAAGCAGCGATAATGACTGCAAAGTAGCCAATTTCCTTTTTTAATCTACAAGCATTCTCTTTTCGTTTGTAATCTGTTCATCCAATTCAAAACCCTTTATCAATCCTCAAATGTTCTCGTATGGTTGCCGGCGAGCATCAACTCGTCCGACCCCAAAATATCATAAATAAATAAAAAAAGTCTTTTGCTCTTATTCACATAGTGACGATGATGACGATTGGACCTCCGGCGAGGTAGTCGGGCATGAGTTTAAGTGTTTGAAAGACAAATAAATGAACTAAGGACATTAAAGTAAATTTAACTTAATTAGGGCGACGAATAAGGAATTTTAGGGCGACGAATAGCAATGCCCGAAAAAAAACCATAATTATCATAAATGGTCACACACCTATTCACTCTGTACAAAATGATCATAACCCTTTAATTTTGCACGTTTCGGTAATACAAGTATGAGCGAATAACTAAATGGTTAATCCGTCCAAAGTCTGTCACCTACACATTCAGTATGACACATCATTAAAAATATTAATTAAAAAATTAGTCAATCACCTCATTTAACCTTCACAAGCTAACCGGTCGTAACAAGCTCTTTACTCACCCTTCTTCTTTCAAGCTTGTCGATCTTGAGAAGATGCAACACCATGTTGTACATCTTGACAAATTTCCCTATTGACAATCAAATCGTGATTGCTCTTCAACTCCATCGTGGCCAACAACCCCTGGCATAGAACTTGAATAGGTTTTGGCCTACTTTGAACAATAACGGCGAATACCCATCCCCAACACCCAATAGGCTGAAATTGTTCTCGAAAATGGAATCCTTGGTAGCGAACTGCTTTCTAGCGAAGTAGTTAATTACAAACATAATCAAGAACGAGAAGCACACTATCTCCACGGTAAACGACTGCTTCTTCTTGGGCACACTTTCCCCCTGCTGCTTCGAATTCGGTTCTGGGGTATCCTTCTCGTCTCTACTAGCACCACCAGAATTTTGGGTTCATCGGAGTATCCGCAGCAGTCGGAAGGCCTTCAAACTCGTCTTCGTCCCATTCGGCGAAGCTGGCGGTCGTAGTAGAGGCCAGAGTCGACGAATCGGGTCTCAATTCGGAGGCAATATTATATCTCCAATATAATAGGCAAAGTTTACATCAACAATACCAACAACAAAAAAATGCACAGAAGAAAGCAATGCTTGGAAGTTGGAGGAGACCATTCCACGGCAGCTGATTAGTTTACAACAGCAAATGTACATATTTTAATGGCCACATTCATTTTGCTAGCTTCTGTCCCGACTTCTTCTTTCGTTAAATCGAGGTTTTTACTTTTTACAAGTTTGCTTAGTAAAACACAGCACACCTAACTGGCAATTCCAAACACCAAGCGCAGTCCTAAATCATCTTGGCAAGCATCGTCTATCGATGATCCTGCGAAGTGTTGCCAGCATCACAAGATCAGTTTGTGAATACTAAAGCAGCAGCAAAGCAAGAATAGATACTGTGTGCTTACCATTATAGAAGACTGGCCACCAAGAAGTAAAATAACCAATCTAGTTTAAGTGTGCAGGTAATTAGCAGCCATCATAAGCTCCAGAGTCAGTTCAGGTTCAATTGGGAACTCGGTTTCCTTACCACTGGTAAAAAAACAACAATAAATTGTCAGCAGATTATACAACAGGTCAAACTTAATGAAGAGACTTGAATACACGATGGAATCTGTAGGTCTTTGTTGATGACAGTTTCAGTACCGTTCTCATTTAGCGACTTTAAGAACTTCAGATTGCGTACAGAGCATCAACTAATGACCACATCATGTCCAATTCAAATAATAACAGTATAATCACAATCAGCTTGTGCAAGTGATCAGCAAATGAAAAAGAGAACTGCTGGAAAAGTTCCAGTCAAAGATGTCAAAATAGGAAGCAGAACTACAATCTATATTTATGTCATCTCAAATCGCCGTCATATGACAACTGCAGTAGGGGAAAAGCATAGGCAAAACAAGAGAAACATGCAAAATCAGCAACTCAGTCAACAACTTATTTTTCATCCGTGAATTTACATCAAGACTGATTGAAAACTCATGAAATGAAGAGAATGAGCTTATTATTGTCTGAACTAAGTAAGCAGCACTAGTTACTAACTAGTAAGAGTAACGTTCTATGAACCAACACACTCTAAACACAAATCGGACCGATGGAAAATGACCGAGAACTCTAGAACCATGCTGTTCTTACTCAGAAGAAAAATACACCCAGAAGATGAAACCACTGCTGACTGTATTTTATAACGAGTATGCCTTACACCATCAACTAAGCAGAAGTAAGGAAATGCCAGCGTTGAAGTGCGCCATTGGCTTCAAAAACACAACAACATGCTTAGTCAGCGAGATGGATTGCTGAATGCTTGTAAATTCAACGAGAGCAAACCAATCTAAGACGTTCATGTAGGAACGAACTTCAGAGAAGCAAGGGACAATTTTGAAAGAAACAACACAATGCAAAATGGAGTCGACAAAAGAAAAGGGGGAAAGGAAACCGAACCTAGCATACTGAAGAGACCAGTGGAAATACTGGCAGATTTTCTCCAGAATTGTGGTGCTTATCTCAGGGAAAGTCACCTCCCCATGTTGAGCCTCCGCAAAACTCCCTGCCAATTGAAAATGAAAGGCGATCAACTTTGCCACAAAGAATTTAGCCAGCCCACCATCCCCCAATCAGTGACGAATTAAATCGCTACCACCAATCAACTCAATTGAACAAAAGGCGCAAGATTTTGTACCGAAATCGACGAACCCAGATCAACAAACAGAGAAATTCCCACATTGGAATTCTCACGAATCGATTCGAGTTTGGAAACGCCAAGAGAGAAGAGGGGCAGAGTGAGACGGACCTGGAGAGGTGAGCATGTTGCGAATTGTCTGCGAAACCATGGCGGCTTCCTTACTGATCACGAACTCGAACCCCTCGGCGCTGATAAGCTTGACCGTGTCTTCTTTCCTCATCTCTGTCTTCCGTTTTTCTTTTCTTTTCCTCTTCTCTTCTCTTCTCTTCTCTTCTCTTATTATTTTTCTGGTGCTCCTTCTTTTATTTATTCCGATTTCCGGGAACAGAAGAGAAAACTGATCCCCCTTTTGACGAATGCGATCATAGATGATTAAACCGCCGAGAAAAGAGCTTGTCGTTCTAACGGAACGCATTGCCAAGTTAAACATTTGGTTTAGATTTGGGCCTGGGCAAGAAGCCTAATACCAACTTCAGTGGTGGGCTGGAATTTCAAAAAATTATTTTAGCAAGGTTTAAAAAAATAAAAGTTCAAATTGATCTAAAAATTGGGTTCAAATTTGGCTCAGAAAATGACACAAAATTCTAAAAGAGAGTGTGATCACATGGGGAAAAAGCAGACGAGCTCACCTGTCAAAAAGAGCTTTAATAATAAAAAAAAGAAACTAATTTAACTTTTAACCATGGTAAAGGAAACTGGATCGTACCGGCCGGTTGAATCGGTAAAACCAGGAACCGGAGCACCGGGGATACGGTATAGTGTTTGGGTGCAGAATATCGCGCCGGCCGGTAGAAACGGTTTAAACCGAAATACCGCCCGGTTTTGGTCTAACCGGGGGCAGGGTAATGGAAAAAAAACGTCGTCGTATTAGCAAAAAAAAAAAAGAAGTCAAATTGTCAAAACCCTAATCAATCGAACGAAACACAGCCGCCTTCGTTTCTTCTTCGGAGTTCTGCAGTTCTCCTCTTCTTCTTCAGCTTGATCTGACGGCCGGCGCTCCTCCTCTTCTCCATTTCTCCTCTGGCGACCGGCGACCAGGAACTGCCGAGCCCGTGACCAGCGACCGGAGGCAAGGCTCCTCTCCGGCGGCAAGGCTCCTCTCCGTCCCTGCTTTCCTCCGCTCCACCGACCGACCTGATCTGCTCCGCTGTGTGGTTAATTCATACTTTCTATGCTTACTATTGAATTGAATTATTTTATGTTTTCTACTTTGATTAGGGAGTATTATACCAAGAACAAAAAAGAATCATATGATCCCATAAGTCTTGAAAGCATTGATTCTACTGTTACTACTGTAGGGATGGCAATGGGTCGGGTTGGGGCGGGTTTTTTCAAACCCAAACCCATGGGTTTATCCGTCAAAAAAACTAGGGGTAAAACCCGCTGGGTTTGAAAAACTCAAACCCAACCCAACCCAACCCGCTGGGTATCCGCGGGTTCATGGGTACCCGTGGGTTTTGTGGTAAAAAATTTACAATAACAAGTTTCTTTCAAAATAAAAGTTTAACATCAATTTTCTCATACAAATTATTCATACAAAAAACACCAATCTAGAGCATACAAGCAAACCGCAAATGATCAATACAAATTGTTCAAAATTAAAGATAAATATCAATAAACAATAAGATTAATTTAAAACTTATTTCTCGTCAACTAATTTTCTTCACTCTCCACTTCATAATATCAACTTCATTCTAAACAATTAGAAAGAACAAATTATACATATCTCCACAAACATAAAGAATATTAGTTGTTTAAGGAAGATATATTATTTAGAATATTAAATATATCGGGAAAGTAATTATATGTGTGTGGGCGGGTACCCATGGGGCGGGTTTACCTAAACCCAAACCCGACCCGGTGAATAGTGTAGCAGGTTTAAACCCGAACCCGGCCCAAAACCCGTCAACACGGGTTTTACCCGCATTGACCGGGTTGGGCCGGGTGGGTACCCGTGGATTCGGGTTTTGTTGCCATCCCTAGTTACTAGTTACTGGTTGTCAGAAGGGGAAGAAGGTTCATCTTCTAGGGAAAAGGAATTGGATATTGATGAGCTTGATCGAGCACAGAAGAGGAAGGTTTGTTTGTAAATCAATTATGTATGATATGAATTCTAATACTAATAATTGATAATAATTCTGACTTGTTTTCTCTTGTATTGTAGTTGGTGATGAAGAAGATGAAGGGGACGACTTGCAGAATGTAGACTTATCTACATTTGGTGTTGTTTGACGATATGAAACGTTGTTTGTGAACATTGTAGTGCTTGCTAGTTTGTGTTTGTGGTAGTAGTGAACTTGTGGTTTGAGAATGTTGTTTGAACTTATGGTTTAAGAATGTTGTTTGGTTGTTTTGTACTCGATCGTAAACATGCATTTGAACGATTATGTAGTTAATTCAGTAATGTTGCAGTTTGTTGATTTTTATATTAAATGTGCTTATTTAGTTTATTCAGGTTTGTTATCCAGTATATTCCGGTATTATTCCGAAACGGTATCCCGAATCTGCCGGTACGGTTTTTTAACAAAAAATATTATTTAATTACAAAAACGGTATTTTGCCGGTACACAACGATTGAACCCGGTAGTACCACAAAATTCCCTACCACTGACGGAACCGGTATGACTTCCGGTACGGTTTCCTTTACCATGCTTTTAACACCCACAATCTCTTCCAACGGCTCTTTCGGTCCAAACAAGAGACCGTCATTAACTAAGTCATATTTACAAAAAAAAATTGTCAGAATTCAAAAAAACTTTGTCGAAATGTTCGTCTTAATTAATTAATAGTACCTACATTAAATTAATGAACAAAATTTGTAATTAGAATGATGAAATATATACAAAACTGGATTATGAGTTAAAGCGCAAATATGGAAATTTGGACTTTTGGAACACACTACTAATGCTAAAACACCTTTTGAGGGGCTAGAATTTGAATTATACCCTCAAATTTTGGACATTTGGATCTAATCACTAAAGATGGTCTAAGCTTACCTAACTCAAGATTTCAGCTATAATGGATTTATTTTAGTGAATGGATTGGATTGAAAATTACCAGCTCTATTTGAATCTCATTGAGGAACCTTCTTTGTGTTACCCATTGCTGCAAAGGGGGTTTAGCACAAAATTGAAGATGGGTGACAATGATGAGCAAAGCATACAAATTGCGATATCAAGTGGAAAATGCAATAAGAGCATGCAAAGGAGGCAAATGATACATTCAAGCATTTCATCAAACACCTTGTGAGCACGAAAATGGGACATGAAAGTAATATTGTTGTTGATGTGACTTGAATCGGACTATCAGCCGCTACGACTGGATTAGTCGGGGGTTTGTAATTTGTAATCTCCTCGATATAGTGAAACTGGCTCTCTCTCGCCTGTGGACTAGCTAACACACATCGTGTTAGTGAACCAGGTAAATCGTGTGTCTGTATTTTTCGATTCTCGCTTTCGTATTCTTGTTTTATCGATTCCGGCGATTTCTCGATCCGTAGCAGCGCGTTTATAACAATTGTAATGGGGTAGAAAGGCACCTCCCATGAGAATTTGAACACCCCCAATCACAACAAACATGCATATGCCAAGGGTTTAGAAGAGCTAGACCAAAACTCATTTATAGCAAGAAAGCACATTCAAGTCATGGCAAGGGAGGTTTCAAGAAGGTGAAGCATTGAATATCTTCCTATGAGTTAAGAAGAGTTTCACTAACCTCCAATATACTAATTTGATAAGAAGTGCACTTTAAGGTGAGCTCTTAATGCTTGAATTGTGCTCTTGGGTGGTATGCCAAAGTTGAGATAAGGAAATGTAGAAAGGGAGATGCAATGTACAAATAAGAGCTAGAAGTTGAGGGGAAAAGAAAAGTGAACAAACAGGTCAAGGCTGAGTATTTAAAACCGAGAGCGGTCAAGATCGCGAGCTAAACTCACTAGATCGTTGCTGCAAACTTGACCTCCTTAACCGCGATCGTTAGCTTCCCTACTCTTCAACCTCTAAGGATTAGCATGCAAAAAGGGCTATCAAACAAGTTGATCACCAATTTCATGTCATGAGAACTGAAGGCATCAGGCTCAAAGTTCCTATAATAATTAGGGATTCTACTAGGGATAAAGAAAAAGAAAATCAAACTGAAACGTTGGGTTACCTCCCAACAAGTGCACCTTTAAGGTCTTATTGTCAGACTCTCCGAAATGAGTTGATTAGGAGGTGGTAGTATCCACCCAATTATTGTTGTCATCATACGCACTCTTGTTATGAAGACCGAGGTGTATGCCATGTAGGCTTCCGTTACCTTCCTCCATAAATAGATCTAAGGGCAACCGTCCTACTTCATCCCGCTCCATGGGAGTGCCTATATGTGACTCTTCCTCGTGGATAGTAGTTGTAACCTTATCAGATGCTCCCCCAAGACCTACCTTGGACATCTTATTCTCTCCTTTAGCTATTCCAGTACTAACATCCTTACATAAGGTACAAATGCTGGAGAATCCTCCCGTCTATCGCTAGAGATGTTGATAACCAATTTGTCATCACCAAATTCCATGACGACTCTTCTTTCCAAAACCTCAATCGTCACTCTATTGGTTGCTAAGAAAGTCTTCCCGAAAAGGATGTGAGATGTTTCTTCTTCGATGTTCATTACCACGAAATCCACCGGGTAGGTAAAGGACCCAACTCTCACTAGGAGATCTTCAATAATTACCATAGGGTAAACTATTGTTCGATCCACCAGTCGTATGAGCATAATTGTTGGGGTTGAACTCTACCAAAATTTGGGCAAAAACCTGCTCTACATGCATTGGTACTAGATTGCTTTGTCCTTCTCAAAGCTCGGTTAGCTCATTCTCAGCTTCCTTGATTTGGAGTTCTAGTTCCATTGTGTGCTTTGTTCATGTCTCTTCCTCCTCTATTTGTTTCCATAGCTCTTTGATTTGCTATGGATCATTGTATTGAAAACCGTAAGGATATCTTCTTCGAATGAGCTCCTTGAACTTTTCATTAAGCCCATTGAAGAAATTATTGTTGAGGAGACTCTCCGGATGTCTGTACGTTGGAAATTTGTAAACCATAGCATTGAATCTTTTCCAAGCTTTGTCGAAACTTTCTTCAGGAAAGCCAAGATGTTATTTCGAAAGAGGTTAAACATTGAACCAACGGGATAACAAAACACAAAACTCTCCATGATTTGGCTCCAAGAAGGAAAAGTTGAAGCTGGGAGCTCCTTGTACCACAAAGTCGATTCTCCTTCCAAAGAATAGGTGAATATGAAGCTATTGGGGTGGTTTTTATCACTTCCTGGTAATTTCACGGTATTTGTGAAACTCATGAAATTCCTCAAATGGTAAAAAGCACATTCATCCTCTTTTCCTTGAAAT